AAGACAAATATGCACTCGTGCCAGGGACGGGCGCGTCATTGGCGAGGGCCTCGCACATGTCTTCTCTTTTGGAAGTTCGTCGAGCCTGTGCTCTGCGAAGAAGTCCGAGCCTCTCATCCTCCATCCTGCATTGCATGTCCACGAGCCACTCGTTCAAGAGCCGCCCACATAAATTCATGCGTGGGCTTCGTAGCAGGTGTTAACGGTGCCACCACATCTGCGTGAGGCGCTGCCCCGCGTTCGCGAGCATGTCGGCGCTCCATCCGCGGCCGCCGCGGGGAAACCAGAGCGGGTAACTCAAGGGCTCGTAGAGCGCGCTCAGCGGGTTCAGGCATTGCGGCGTGGGACACGAGTTCCTTCGGAATACGACAGACCAGGGCGACGCGTCCACGCGGGGTGTTTCATGGGCAATCGCAGCGAGCTCGTTGATGCCCTCGCCCCACTGGAGCTCGACCGCCACGGCGGCGCCGCGTACTGACGGGGCCGACAGGCGTCGAAGCTCTTTCGCATAGCCATTGTGCGGAAGGATAAGTGTCTCCAGTCGCCGAAGCAACTTTAGGTCCACATTGTGCGCAGTGGCGTTCGTGACGCGCCCCCGAGGGTCGACGACAATGTAGCGTAGAGGCGTCGTGTCAGCGCAGCTCCAAGTCCGCCGGTACATCGTGCCAGGGATTCGGATATTGGAAGGCCGCAGCTCGCTATTGAATCGCATCTCCCGTTCTGAAGTAGTGCTTTGAATCTCGTGCACGGCGAAAGAGAACAGACTATTGCAGCGCCTGCTGATGGCTGAGAATCCCGTCAATCGAGGTGCATTGGAAATGGCGTCGTGTATTGGGCGTCCCTGTTCGTCCTTGCACAGCCACGTAGTGCCGAACGTTTTCATGACAGCGCCTGCAGGGGGCTTGTGGTACTTTGTGAAGTCCACGTAATGCTTCCCAGCGCCGCAGCAGAAACCATCGCCTTCGCAGTGGAACAGCTTTGCAGAGCAATGGGTGCATGTGTGCGTCATGGCACCCAAATCGATTCGGGAAAAGGCGTCCTCCGGGCGTCCTAGTGGACAGCAGCGTCGGCATATCTTCTGGTTGCGGGCGTGCCATCTGGGAGCAAAATCGCCCAGCGGCAATGTTCCTCCGCATCGAGCACGGACACAAAATGAAGCAAATTCTCTCGGTTCTGTGTCGGCGTTGAACTGCGAAGTCCTCGGGGGAGAGCTCCTCGCGACAGCGAGTGCAGGGCAGGGCCACCGCAGGTCTGTTTTGGAGGGCGGCGCATGCTTTGCAAATCGTTGTGGCTTTGTGCAGCTGAGTGGGTGTGAAAGAGTCGCGCGGAAGGTCGGGCGTGCACGCCGAGCACGTGAAAGATGCCCGTGTGGCACATTATTTGCAAGTCTTCGTGGCTTTGTGTAGCTGGGTAGGTGTGAACGAGTCGCGCAGCAGGTCGGCCTCGCAGACAGAGCACGTAAAGCATGCTGCCCGCTTGGGGCCCATGGCGCAGAGCAAATGATCACGGTGTACATGTGTCCATCCCAAGAATGGGATATCTACGCCTTTCGAGCCAACGCGTCGGAGTGTACTGAAAATGAAGCAACATGGTGGAAGGGGAAGCAGGAGAAGGGGGGGATGTGGAGGACGGGGTGATAGGGCTTGAAGGAAAGGTGAGCATCATATTTTAGTTCCCGGGGTCGCTGAAGGAAGAGTATAAGAAGGCGGTGACGGGGGAGAGAGGAGAGGAGGAGGAACAGGACCAGGATAGTGCGGCGGGGGAGAAAGGTGGACGAAGGGAGGAGAAGGAGGACGAGGAGAGGGAGAAAGAGGAGACAAAGGAGGTGGGCTCCTGAGACGAGAGGGAGACTGCGCATCAAATTGTGGTTCCCCAGACCCTGGAAGCCTGTCGTGGGATCTCTCTGGGGCCCCCCAGGTGTGTCTTGTGGCGGCGCCTTGGTGTCTTTGGGGAGCTTGGATATGAGTCTCAGATCTGGGGCCCTTCAGAAGGCAGCGGAGAAGGAAGACAGCGAACTACAGGAGAGAGAGAGGAGCAGGAGGAGGAAAAGCAAGAGGAAACCTTGTCGTAGGCCCGTGGTGGGGTCTTCTTGGGCCGTCCAGGAGTCTCGTGGGTTCTTCTGGGGAGCTGGTGATAACAGTCTGGGGTCTGGGGTATGTTTTAGTTTTCGCGAGTGTTCCATGGGCTCCTGAGACGAAAGGAGAACTGCGCATCAAATTGTGGTTCCCCGGGCCCTGGAAGCCTATCGTGGGCCCTCTTCGGAGCCCCCTTGGTCTGTCTTGGCACCCCTGGTTGCTTTTGGGGAGCTTGTGATAACAGTATGTGGTCTGGGGCTTTTGACGAGACAGCGGAGGAGGAAGACAACGAACTACAGGAGGAGCAAGAGGAGCAGGAGGATAAAGAACCGGAGGAGGAGGAGCAGCAGAGGGAGGTGGGGAGGAGATTTCCGAATAGTTGGTGTCGAGAGTTAGGTTGGAACCTTCTTGGACTTTCTTGGGGATGTCTTCAGAGCTTCGAAGGAGCAGGAGGAGGAGGAGGATCAGGAGAAAACCTCTTGAGAAAATGAATATCAGTTTTCGTATCCCGGAGTCGGTGGAGGCAAATGAGGAGAGGGCGATGGAGGAGGAGGAGGAGGACGAGGAGGAGAGGGAAGGCGACGAGTTCGAGGGAAGAAGGAGGTTGAGGAGGGGGTGAGGGGCAGAGAGGGGGAAACGGAGGAGGAGGAGGAGGAGGAGGTGGAAAAGGACGAGACATGGGCTGTCGGACGTCCGAGTAGGTCATGCCGGGAGTTATCTTGGAACCCTCTTGGGCTCTAGTGGGGATGTTTGCAGGGCCTCATGTGCCGTCTCATGTGCCGTCTTGGGGCGAGCTTGAGAAGAACTAGGGGCGATGGGGGGGGGCCACTCAGGTCAATCAGAGTGTAATGAATTTGACGGCTCTAAGACTGAGTGGAGCTCCTGTTGGTGCTTTTGTATACCATCGGAGGGCCTTCTTGGGCTGTCCTGCGGCCCTCGTGGGCTGTCTGGGGGGGGCTTGGGCCGTCCTGGGGCCGTGTTGGGGCTCTCTCGGGCCCTCTCTGAAGCATCCCGTGGCTCTGTTGGGGCCCTCTTGGATGTCTTTTAGGGGTCTTTTGGGCGCTCCCTGGCTTTCTTGGCGCTTGATTGGCCCATCTTGGGGCCCCATTGGGCCGCCTGGAGGCCATTTCGGGGCGACCTCGGAAGCTCGCAGACCATTCTTCGGCCGTTCGTGGCCAGAAAAGGCGAGAAGCACAGAGTCGTTCAAAAACCAATGGAAAATTAAGGTTTTTGGCCTGCTGAGGCCGTATTGGAGGTCTTTGCGGGGGCATCCTGGGCCGTCTTGAGCCCATGTTTGGTCCTGTTGGAGCACTCTGGGGCCGTCTTGGGGCCTCTTGGGCCTTGCAGAGGACGTCTCGGAAGTGCCTTCTGCTGTCTTGGGCTCCCGATGTAGGCCTCGTGTCGCTCTCTTCGGGGTATTTTGGGCCGTCTCGAAGCATTGTGGGGCTCTCTTGGGGGCCTGTGGGGTTCATGTGGGGTCCATGTGGGGGGGGGTGTCGGTGACATGCCGGGTTTTTCCTTGTAAATTGATAGGTAGAAGGATATATATATATATTATATATATATTATATATATATAAATATACATAGATATATGTATATATATATATATATATAGGGAGAGTGAGAGAGTGAGAGAGTGAGAGAGAGAGAGAGGGAGAGAGAACGAAAGAGAAAGACAGAGGGGGAGAGGGAGAGAGACAGACAGACAGACAGACAGACAGACAGACAGACAGACAGACAGAGAGGGACAGACAGACAGAAAAAGGACAGACAGACAGAGAGACAGACAGACAGACATACTGGCAGAGAGAAAGACAGGGATACTTAATCAGCAATGGGGGGAGAGATGATGAGAAAGAGAAAGATGGAGAGAAAGAGAGAGCGAGAGAGAGATAGGGAGTCAACGTACTATTGTAGTTTGTGTACATCGATACACACTTGTACTCATGTACAGATGCACACGTAGTGGCGGCAGCGACAGGTGTTCTCATGCATTCTCCCACAGCTGTTCTCATGTATACGTGTACAAGAAGGCGTATCTATAGCATGTATGCAAGGTATTGTTGGCCCGCTTCGCTTCGCCACAACGTCCTGTCATTTTGTGGCATCACCCTTTTGCGCAGTATCCGCGGCAGATGTCCGTCGGCCTCGGGGCCCGCAGCGGCCCCGCCGTGGTCGACCTCGAGGAACGCTGCTGTGCTCCTTTTGAGAACCGTCAACAAGTTCGTGTGTCTGTCGCCGTATAAGTTCGGTAGCTGGTAGGAGAAGTGGTTGATGAATGAGCTCGGTCAGGTATCGGGGCCTGGGGGAGGGCCGAGGAGGGACAACGGAGGAGGGTTGAGTCATGGAAGGACGGGGGTTTCGAGGAGCATTTTGTATTCCAACGTGGAAGAGAACCTAAATGGCGCAGCCTGGTCTTCATATTTCGTTGGGGAAGTTTGTGCGCGTGGCACTCTCGCCGTAGAAACTCGAGGACTTGGGGAACATATGTTCAGGATTGAGTTTGGGAAGGGATCGGGGCTCGAGGAAAGTCCGGGATTTGACAACAGAAGGACAGAGGAGAGATTAGGAGTAGGAAGCCCGACGCTTGATCTTATATCGCATGTTGACGCATACGTGTCACGTTGACATACGTGCATCTGCTTGCGCGCGAACGTAACTCAAGATCTTGAAGCATACGTGCAAATGGACATACACAAACTCACAATGTCTTTTGTGTCGGGCATGGGTGAAAGTGGAAGGGGAGAGGGAGAGGAATCTTCCAGGTGAGGTGTGCTATCCCTGATTTGATTTTATAGGCTCAAAGGCTTGACAACATTACCAGACGTGAAACGGAGGCCAAGCCCGAGGATTGACAACGTGTCGGGGTATTTTTGCCCGCATTTGTGTCGCGGTGCGTACCTCAGATCATGTGCACTGGGAGGGTCGACGCACAGCTACACGCAGTTACGCAGACGGAGTCTCGTACTTGACGATCTGTCGGGGCATTTTGTGCGCGCGGCTTGAGTCGGAGAAAGAGGTTCGGCTGGGAGTTTGGACTGTTGGAAGACATGAGGAGGGAGTGCGCGGGAAGAGGGAAAGAAAGATGAGGCGGAGGTGTTGGTGAGGGAGTGGGGGAAGAGGATTAACGAACAAAATCGTCATGACATCGGCGGCCCGAGCTGCGAGAGGGTCGTGGTGCGGCTTGTCGGTGCGGCAGTGCGGATCCTTGGCTGACAATTCCGCGCGGCAACAGGTGCACGGCAAGCGAGAGGACAGCTCCTATGGAAGAACGGTAGGCTGGGGCCCAGGGGGTGCTTGGGGATGTTTTGTGGCCTTTTTGGGTGCCTCGTGGGGTCTTTCGCGAGGGTTACGCAGGAGTCTTGCGGCAACGGATCGCGATTTCTGAGCGTCGGGCCCCAGACATCTTTTGCACTGTCTGGAGGGATGTGGAGTTGTTAGGGTCCGCCCGGACCTCCCTTGAAATCAAGTGTGCCTTGGGTGTGCTCCATCAGTGGGGGATCCGTGTCATGTAAGTAAGGTAAAGAATTTGTATACCTATACGACCACCCTTCGGGAGATAAGAAGGTTCGGGGGGGAGGAATCAACGTCTCACTCGATCGGTCTCACTATCGATCTCACTATCGATCTCAGTATCGGTCTCGCTCGATCGATCTCCTTCGATCGTTCTCACAATCGATCTCACTCGGTATATCTCACAATTGATCTGACTATCGATCTCACAAACGATCTCACAATCGATCTCACTATCGATATCACATTCGGTCTCACTATCGATCTCACTATCGATATCACAACCGCTCTCACAATCAACGTCATCATCATCATCAACAACAACATCATCATCAACATCATCATCACCAACATCATCATAATCGGGACACCGTCCTCATCATCAACACCAACATCGTCATCATCACGGGCATCAACATCATCGGGACACCACCATCGTCATCATCATCAGCACCATCATCACAATCATCATCATCAACATCATCATCAGCAGCATCGGGGCACAGTCATCGTCATCATCATCATCAGCAGCAGCATCATCATCGGGACACCATCCTGATCACCATCGTTATCATCATCATCATCCGGACCCCATCATCATCATCTCATCCTCATCATCGACATCATCAGCATCAGCATCATCAACATCATCATCAGCATCACCATCGTCATCATCGGGGCACCATTATCATCATTACCAACATCAGCATCAACACCATCATCATCATCATCACCATCGGGACGCCATCATCATCAACATCATCATCACCATCAGAATAATCGTCATCATCGGGACGCCATAATCATCATCAACCTCATCATCATCAACATCATCATCATCGGGACACAATCATAATCAGCATCATCAACAACATCATCATACTCATCATCATCGGGACACCATCATCGTCATCATCATGATCATCAACATAATCATCATGATCATCATCATCATCCTCATCATCGGGACACCATCAGCATCATCATCATCGTCATCATCATCATCATCGATCATCATCATCATCATCATCATCATCATCATCATCATCATCATCATCATCATCATCATCAATCATCATCATCATCATCACCATCATCATCAGCATCACAATCATCATCATCATCGTCATCATCATCATCAGCAGCATCATCATCATCATCACCATCACCATCACCATCATCATCATCATCATCATCCTCTCATCATCACCATCATCATCATCATCGCGGGACACTGCGGGACACCGGCGGGACACCGCGGGGCACCGCGGGACACCGGGGGACACCGTGGGACACCGGCGGGACACCGCGGGCCACGGCCGCCCGGAAGGGAATCATTTGGTCCGGCCGCGCCTCAGCCACACGGGACACAAGCGGGACACCGGCGGGACACCGCGGGCCACCGGCCGCCCGGAAGGGAATCATTAAGGTCCGGCCGCGCCTCAGCCACAGGAGACTTTCTCTCGCCCGCCCACGCAGCTTCGCCTCGCCCGCGCGGCACGCACGAACACGAAACCGAAATCGATTTCCCGGTAGGGGGGCTCTCCGTTCCACTTCGTTCTCACCCCCTCACCTCCGATTTTCATTTACAAACTTGTATATATATATATATATAGCCCTGTGCACCGACCAAGAACCCCCCTTTCTTATGATTATGTATGATTGTATATATGATTCCTACGATTTTCGGACTCACTTTTGAGGCTCTTTTTTGGAAGACTTTTTGGGCTCCCTTCTACTTAACTCCCTCCGTCTCCAACACAACACCCATTACTCAACAGCCTCCTTCTCCAACGCAACACCCGATACTCAACAGGCTCCCTCCCCAAGCTGAACTTGAAAAGAACCTTCTACTCAACTCCCTCCGTCTCCAACACAACACCCAGTACTCAACAGCCTCCTTCTCCAACACAACACCCGATACTCAACAGGCTCCCTCCCCAAGCTGAACTTGAAAAGAACCTTCTACTCAACTCCCTCCGTCTCCAACACAACACCCAGTACTCAACAGCCTCCTTCTCCAACACAACACCCGATACTCAACAGGCTCCCTCCCCAAGCTGAACTTGAAAAGAACCTTCTACTCAACTCCCTCCGTCTCCAACACAACACCCAGTACTCAACAGCCTCCTTCTCCAACACAACACCCGATACTCAACAGGCTCCCTCCCCAAGCTGCACCAAGAACCCCCCTTTCTCATGATTATATATGAATTTATATTATGATTCCTACGATTTTCGGACTCACTTTTGAGGCTCTTTTTTGGAAGACTTGTTGAGCTCCCTTCTACTCAACTCCCTCCGTCTCCAACACAACACCCAGTACTCAACAGCCTCCTTCTCCAACACAACATCCGATACTCAACATCAACAGGCTCCCTCCCCAAGCTGAACTTGAAAAGAGCCTTCTACTCAACTCCCTCCGTCTCCAACACAACACCCAGTACTCAACAGCCTCCTTCTCCAACACAACACCCGATACTCAACAGGCTCCCTCCGTCTCCAACACACACACATGTACTCCAGATCCTACCACCACAACACGACGCGACACCCGAAACTCCAACCGCACCCGCCCCCTTTTTTTTCTTGGCATCTTCCAAGAGAAAAGGGGGGTCCATGGTGGGTGCTGCGGCCTATATATATATATATATATATATATATATATCGCTAGACATGCATTGATTATATATGTATGGTCGAGGGAAGTGGTAGCACGAACAGGGAGAGAGAGAGAGATAGAGAGAGAGAGAGAGACAGAGAACGATCTACATACATTTACTGGCAGGACAGTATCTACATACATCTACATACAGGTATATCTAGCTCCTTGCGGGAAGTCCCGCGACCGTACCAGCCCAGCATGCTGGGTGGCGACTGTTCGAGGAGGCACGGGAGGCGGTCACCTGTGACACCTTTTGTCTCCAGGCTTGGAGGAAGCCGTGGTAAGGTTGATGAGCACTATAAACGAAGAAGATGGTGGAGGTGATGATGGTGATGATGATGATGATGGTGATGATGATGATGATGATTATGTTGATGCTGATGGTGGTAATGGTGATGATGGTGATGGTGATGATGATTGCGATGACGATAAGGATGAGGATGATAATGAGGATGAGGTTGAGGATGAGGATAATTGTGGTGACGGTGACGGAAACGGTGAAGATTATGATGATGATGGTGATGATAATGATGATGTTGATTATGATAATGACGATGAAGATGATGACGATGATGATTATGATAATGATGCTGAATCTGATGATGAATATGATGATGATGATGATGATGATGATGATGCTGATGCTGATGCTGATGCTGATGCTGATGCTGATGCTGATGCTGATGCTGATGCTGATGGTGATGATGATGATGATGATGATGATGATGATGATGATGATGATGATGATGATGATGATGATGATGGAGAAATTCGTTTGGGCCGTCCTGGGGCTGTCTTGGCCTCCTGTGGGACATTCATGAGGTCCCTTGAGGCCCTCTTGGGCCCTCTTGGGGCCCCCTTACGCCGGCTTGGGGCTCACTTGAACCGTCTTGGGGCCGTCTTGGCCGTATTCTGATTGTCTGGAAGCCGTCTTGGCGTCGTCTTGGGCCGTCAAAGGGCCTTCTAAGGCCGTGCTGGGTCCCACGGGAAGCCCTTTTGGGCCGTCTTGGAGCCGTCTTGGATGCCGCTTGGGCCATCGTGGTGTCCTCTTGGGCCGTCTCGAGCTGACGGCAGCCCAAACGGGCGAGAATATTTAAATCAGCAAGAAACAAAAAAAACAAAAAAAGCAGGTGACATCCATGATTTTGGCTTTTTCGGAAACTGATGGAGGTCCTCGTGTGGCCATTTTGGGCCCTCTTGGAGGCATCTTGGGCCGTCTTGAACCCAGATTCGGTCGCATTGGGGCCATCCTGGGCCGTCTTCGAGGTATCCTGTGCCATCTTGGTCTCCTTAGTTGCCTGCGCGGGCCGTCTTGGAAGCTCGGGATGCATATGCATCGTTCTTAACGAGGGATCGTGGCAGAGGGGGCCCTGGAGCGCTTGGGAGCAGCGCCCGGAAATGCGGAAAAGCACGATCCTTGGTGCGCGTGGGATGAGGGGATAGGAGTTAGCAGCCATGCGGGAAGTGCACAGTCTTCCAGCGGGCGCGCATGGAATGAGGGTCCAGGCATTAGCTGCCATGCGGGAAGTGCACCATCCTCGAGCGGGCACGCGTGGAAGGGGGGTCTGGCATTAGCTACCATGCGGTAAGTGTACCATCCTCGAGCGGGCACGCGTGGACTAGGGGTTCAGGTATTACCGGCCATGCTGGAACTGCACCACCCTGGAGCGGGCACGAGGGAAGTGGCTTCGGGAAGAAGGGGCTGTGCACGCAAGAGTCCACGGGTAGGGGGGACCGTACATGGACATTATATTCGAACCCTGTGGCCCAAGATGCCCCGACGACCCCCCGAAATTAATATTGATGGCGTGGCGACGGGGGGGGGGCGTGAGTGGACAGAAGTATGCGAACCCCAAAGCACCGCCTTTACTGAGATCAACATTGATGTCGGGGGCGCGGGGGTGATTTAGAATCCCCCTCGAACGTGTGAGGGTTCGAATAGATTGTCCATCTACTGGAGGAGGAGGAGGAGGAGGAGGAGGAGGAGGAGGAGGAGGAGGAGGAGGAGGAGGAGGAGGAGGAGGAGGAGGAGGAGGAGGAGGAGGAGGAGGAGGAGGAAGGAGAGGAGGAGGAGGAGGAGGAGGAGGAGGAGGAGGAGGAGGAGGAGGAGGAGATCTCATCAGAGTTCGAAAAAAAAAAAACCCTACCAGGCAGACCTTGGCATATGCCTCCGTGCCTCCACGTGCCAGGGGGGCACGGTGGCAGACGGCTGCCTTTTTTTTGCGCCGCACCTGCGGCAGCCAGGGCGCGGGGCAGCCCACTTTGGCCACGACGCTGCCTGCTTCTCTCCCTTCTCCTCCTCCTCCTTCCCATCCTCTCTCTCTCCTCCTCCTCCTTCCCTCTCTCTCTCCCTCTACCCTCCTTCTCCTCCTCCTTCCCATCCTCTCTCTCTCTCTCTCTTTCTCTCTCTCTCTCTACCCTGTCCGCCTTTTGGGCCCGAGCTTCGGCCACGCTCGAAGGGCAAACTTGCTGCTTGGGTGCTCCGTTGGGCGATCCATCATGGTGTCGGCTCTCATCTTCTTCATCAAGAAGATAATCGCTTCGAGTTCCCGAAAGCCTCCCTCCTCACTCACTCCGGTTTCGCGCGAGGAGGGAAGTTGATGCGGAAGGTTTTTCAGCAGCTTAGTTTCCAGAAAGGTTGGCAGGCAGGAGGGAGGAAGGGAAGTGATGAGGGATGAGCTCCTTTTGATCCTGTTGCTGCTCCTGCTCGTCGCCCTGGTGCTGCTGCTTCTCCTCCTCCTCCTCCTCCTCCTCCTCCACGTCGTCCTCACTGGGGCATGGCCTCACTGCCACCCCGCGCACGTCCCGAGAGAGAGAGAGAGCAGCTGGTGCTGAAGCGGCGGGCCCCCGCGGTGCTTCGGTGGTGGCATCCCGTGTCGGCTCCGTGCGCTGTGTCCTCCCTGCCCTCCTCGGCCCCCCAGGCCCGCAGGCGTCGTGGGCAACGGTCGCCGCGGCGGGCTCTTCGTTGCAATCCCAGCCTCGGGGCGGCCGTCTTCGGGCCCCCGGGGGGGCGTCGGGAGATCGGCCCACGACGAGGAACCGGTCCCCGTTGACTCGGGAGCGGCCAAGAGGGGGGTGATGATTGGGGGGGGGATATCATGGCGGGGGCCATGATGTCTCCCCAGATTTCATGGCGCCTCTTCTTCTTTCAATGCGTCCCCGGACCCCCCCCTGGGCCGCGCACATGCCGCTGGCCATGATTTTCGCACCTCCCTTTTGGACGCCCCCTCTTGGACGCTCCCGACCCTGGGGGGTCGTCAGGAGATCGGCCCGCGACGAGGAGGCGGTCTCCGTGGACGGGGCCGAGGGCTCTGTGTTCCGCGACGTGGAGGGAAGACGATCGTGCTGTAGGGCCGGGTCTGCAGCCGTGCTGGCTCGAGCATGCTGGATCAAATGGGGGCAGTGTGCTAAGGGTGGTGGGTGTCGTTGAATCGGCGACGGCGGCGCAGCATCGATCGCCATGCCAGGGCAAATCCCTCCGTGGATTCTTCAGGTAGAGGGCTTCGTGTTCATTGGCGTCGGGGTCTTCATGAAGTGGCGTGGCCTCTTGGGATCGGACAGCGCGGCGCTGACAGGATTGAGGGCGGCTGTCTTCACTCTAATGTTGCCAGCGTCACTGCTGCGAAGTACGTGGACGAAGACCCTTGAAGGCGAGCTCTTGGAGCTGCTTCTGTGGTCGGTGGCCATCCACATATTTTGGGTGGGTTGCAGTTATCTTCTGATCACTATGCTATTCAAGCACGGGTGGCTCCCCATAGGTGGCGAATTGCCAGGATGGTATTTGTTGACGATGAGTGCCACATCTCTGGGAATGCCTTACGCCTTCATGGGCCAGGGCGACTTCGGGGAGCGAGCCATTCCCTCCGCCGTGCTGTACGACCTCGGTGGGAACACCTGGCTGTGTCAGGTCGGCTTCGCTTTTCTGGGGAGCATCGGTGCATCGGAGGTCGCGCCACGGCGCTCGTCTGCCGCAGCTGACGCTGAGCTCCCGGCGATGACAGAGCTCGCGCAGGCCCCTCCCAAGAGTGCGCTCCGCAGCGGCAGCAGCGCGGACCCCACGGCGGTGAGCGGCGGACCGCTGCAGCGAGAGAGGGCAGCGAGGCCAAAGTCTGCGCGGGTTCTGGCTCCAGAAGATGCAGGGTCCACAGAGGATTCCTCCAGCCTTGCTGTGGGCGATGCAGATCAGCCCCCAGCATCGGCGGTGCAGATCGGACCCGAGCGTCTCATCATGACGCCGGCGGCAGCGTCCATGTGCAGCGATGTGCCGCGCAGGAGCCGCTGCGATGTACCGCGCAGGACCTGCGGCGATGTACCGCGCAGGACCCGCCTGTCTCGCGTGAGGCTGACTGTGGCGAACATTGACGATGCTGTTGTAGAAGCGCATGGTGTCAGCACGGTTGCAATACTGCGAGACAACATCCTGCTAAACCCAGTCATCGTTGCGTTTGTCTTTGGGTGTTCTATGAACGTGCTAGGTGTTTCCATGCCTTTGATACTGGATGATGTTTGTGATAAGCTCACCACGTCTTTCTCTTGCATGATGTACTTCATGATCGGAAGTTGCATTGAGCTGCGACGGCCCTCGTGGTCCGATGTATCTCCTGCTTTTATCGCGCTGGCGCTTCGCACATGCCTGCAGCTCGTGACGGTGGTCTTGTTTCCAGTTGTCTTGATGATTTATGGCAGGAGGCTTCTGACTCAGGACGAGATCGATTTTGACTTGCGCCGGGCGTTCACCATGTGCATGCTTTCTCCGTGCACGAACATGATCATGTTCTGGTCAGGGCAGTACAGCCACTCTGCGGATCTGTCTGCCTTTTACATTACTCTGAGCAACCTGTTCTCCATGCTGTCCCTCGGCGGTGCGAGTGCATTTCTTCTGAAGTCGGAGTTCGGAAGCGAGCAACCGACTGCGACGGCAGCATTCACACATTCCACAGCTTCTTAGAAGGCATGCTGACTGTTGCCTGGCAGGTGGCAAGGTGAACTCAGTCACCATGGACAACCCTCTCAAGCGCATTTGTGCGCACAGCATCAGCAGCCAGGCTGCGCCGTTGCGCGCAGAGCTTTTACATCCAGTGGCCTTTGGCCTAGTCCGCCACCCTGCATCACATGTAGTTTATCTATCCCGCCCTCTCCCCCCTCCCCTCCGCCGATACCTTCACCCATGCATCCATTCAGCAAGGCGGAGGAGGAGGGAGGGAGAGGAGGAGGAGGGGAATGATGACAGACGGTGAAATTAATAAGGCTGATCTGAATGATGACGATGACGATGACGATGACGATCATGATGATGATGATCATGATGATGATGATGATGATGATGATGATGCTGATGTTGATGCTGATGATGATGATGATGATGCTGACGCTGATGGTGATGATGATGACGATGATTGATGATGAGGATGACGATGCTGATGATAATGATGATGATGCTGGTGATGATCCTGATGATGATAATGACGCTGACGATGACGACGATGGTGACACTGATGATGCTGCTGATGATGATGACACTGATGATGATGCTGATGATGCTGATGCTGCGTGTGACGATGCTGATGCTGACGATGACGATTGACGATGGCGATGACGATGATGATGATGCTGGTGATGATGATGATGACGATGACGATGCTGATGATGATGGTGATGCTGATGATGACGACGATGCTGATTCTGATAGTGGTGGTGATGATGATTGTGATGGTGGTGTTGATGGTGATGGTGATTTTGATGATGATGATGATGCTAACGATAATGATGTTGATAGTGTTGTTGATGCAGTCGATCATTGTGGTGATGCGATGGTGACGGTGATGGTGAAGCTGAAGATGATGCTGTTGATGATGTTGATGATGTTCATGCCTGCGAGGGTGATGCTGATGCTTATGATGCTGGTGCTGATGCTGCTGATGATAACGATGCCGACAATTGTGATGGCGATTGTAATGATGGGGATGATGATGATGCTGATGCTGGTGCTGATGCTGATGCTCCTGCTGATGATGATGATGATTATGAGTACGTTTGTGGTGGTGGTGATGATGATCCTGATGATGATGCTGCTGCTGATGATGATGATGATGAATGATGATGATGATGATGATGATGATGATGATGATGATGATGATGATGATGATGATGATGATGATGATGATGATGAGGGTGATGATGATGATGATGATGACGATGATGAGGGGAGGAGGGGAACGAGGGGAAGGAGGAGGACGAGGGGTCACAGTGAGCTTAGAGGAGGAGGGGGAGAATGAGGGAGGAGGATGAGGAGGAGGAAGGCGTAGTTTTTGAGTAGCGGGTCTTCTTTAGCATCCAGAAGTGCCAGCCAAGAGCAGCTGCGCAAGGTTCCAGCGTAGGCGTAGGGTGGCTTTGATGCTGCATGGCTCTTGCGAGGCCGCTCGGGGAGTTCTTGGGGCATTCTTTTGGGGGATCTCTTCTTGGGGCGAGTGTGGGGTGCCCATTGTGCTACTATCCTTGGGGTCCCCACCCAAGGCCTCCCCGAGACCACCCGACGGCCAATGCGGCCCCTCGGGAGCAGGAAGTGCGAGAGTGGCCTCTCGGGGACTTCCCTGGGAGGCGGGGGCCATCCCCGTGTTATCATGGGGGCTCTTGAAGGTCGCCTGGGAACAGTACACGCCGGTCGTTGAAAGTAGGGTTTTTTTGATTCCCAGATCCCAATCTACTTCAAGCGCCTTCCTACTTTCAAGAATCGACCTGATTTTGCTGTGTTTTGTTAATCTCTGGGAGGGCCTGGACCCAATCCACGTTGTCCGCATTCCTACTTATGTTTTTACCTACTTCTTCCGACCGACGTGTAATACTGGAGGGCGAGGGGTTCTTTCTCCGGGAAAAGGGTTCGCTCTCTGGGAAAAGGGTTCGTTCTCCGGGTGTACTACCGAATCCTTGTAGATTCCTGGGGTCCTTCGGAGAGGATTAGCTCTCCGGGTGAGACCTCATCGAGGATCCTCACACTTCTGTCAAAACTGACTTTCGCAAATCGCAATGAGCTGCCCTTAAGGCGCCACAGAGATTTCCCATCAGTCTGGCTTCTTTTGCCCGGAGAAGGAACTCTTCTTGGTAATATTACTAAACTACATGAGGCGACCAAGTTGGTAGTAGTTCGTAGCTTGTTGCTCGTAGTTAGGAGTTAGCCGATAGTATGTAGAAGCTGGTATGAAGTAATGAATCGTGGCCCGAACGTAGTGAACAGTCTGTTGTTAGTAGCTTGTCGTATGTAGTAAGTAGTACGTACGTAGTAGCTAGCAGGTTGTGGGTAGTAGTTGTTAGCTAGTTTGTGTAGTCAGTACTCAGTAGTAGTAGTAGTAGTAGTAGTAGTAGTAGTAGTAGTAGTAGTAGTAGTAGTAGTAGTAGAACTAGTAGTAGTAGTAGTCGTAGTAGTAGTAGTAGTAATAATATTGATATTAGTAGCATTCGTAGTCGTAGTAGTAGGAATAGGAGTAGTAGTAGTAGTTGGTATTTAGTAGTCAATAGCTAGTAGTAGTCGTAGTAGTAGTACTAGTGGTGGTGGTAGTAGTAGCAGTAGTCGTAGTAGTAGTCGTAGTAGTAGTAGTAGTAGTAGTAGTAGTAGTAGTGGTAGTAGTAATAGTAGTAGTAGTAGTCGTAGTAGTAGTGGTTGTAATAGTAGTCGTCGTAGTAGTAGTAGTAGTAGTAGTAGTAGTAGTAGTCGTAGTAGTCGTAGTAGTCGTAGTCGCAGTAGTAGTAGTAGTAGTAGTAGCAATAGTAGCAGCAGTAGTAGTAGTAGTAGTAGTAGTAGTAGTAGTCGTAGTAATAGTAGTCGTAGTCGTAGTCGTAGTAGAAGTAGTAGCAGTAGTGATAGTAGAAGTAGCAGTAGCAATAGTAGTAGTAGTAGTAGTAGTCGTAGTAGTAGTAGTAGTAGTAGTAGTAGTCGTAGTAGTAGTAGTAGTAGTAGTAGTAGTAGTAGTAGTAGTAAGAGTACACGTAGTAGTAGTAATAGTAATCGTAGTAGTAGCAGTAGTAGTAGTAGTAGTAGTAGTAGTCGTAGCAGCAGTAGTAGTAGCAGTAGTAGTAGTAGTAATAGTAGTCGTGGTAGTGGTAGTGGTAGCGGTATTGGTAATAGTGGTAGTAGTAGTAGTAGTAGTAGCAGTAGTAGTAGTAGTAGTAGTAGTAGTAGTAAGGGTACACGTAGTAGTAGTAATAGTAATAGTAGTAGTAAAAGTAGCAGTCGCAGTAGCCGTAGTAGTAGTAGTAGTAGTAGTAGTAGTATTAGTGGTAGTAATAGTAGTCGTGGTCGTGGTAGTGGTAGTGGTAGTGGTAATGATAGTAGTAGTCGTAGTAGTAGTAGTAGTAGTAGTAGTAGTAGTAGTAGTAGTAGTAGCCGTACAAGTAGTAGAACAGAAGCAGAAGTAGTGGTAGTAGTAGTAGTAGGTGAAGCACTCGTAG